ATAGTGTCAGTGGTAGAAAAAGAATCAGAGTGGCCTATGGGCCACAGGCCAGACATTCCTATTTGGATATCAAAGAATTCAGACAAATCCAAAAGCTCCAAATTCAAGCCTGTCTTTCAGATGCTTTTGAAGGTACATCTGTCAGGATGCAATGATAGACTGTATTGCATTTAACAGTTTTTCAGCTGAATCCTGTGCAGTGGTACATACCTATCATCCCAGACACTTGGGAGGCTGAGGCAGGAGGATCACAAGTTTGAGAACAGCCTCAGCAATTTAGTGAGACCCTCAGCAATTATAGTGAGACCCTGTCTCAAAATAAAAAATAAAAATAAGAAAGGACTGGGAATGTAGCTCAGCGTTCAATCCCCAGTACTGGAAGAAAAAAAGAAAGAGAGAGAAAGAAAGAAAGTTCGAACATTTCATTTAATACACAGGCCTCTGGTATGTGAGCCACCACTTAGTCTTGCCCTAAAGCTGATAAATGTCAGGTGCAGGTCTATTCTTTGTACAGACATACACAAATAAAATAAACGTATAAATAAATGTAAAGTAAAACTACAGTGCCTACAAGAATAAGTATACTATTTGGATCCTTCCTAAAATCCTCTTGATTCATTCCCAGGGCTCTCATTGGATGTTGGGGTCTCCAGGTTCCCCCCTTCATTCTCTTATGAAGTAGAGAATGTCATCTGAAAGCCCTTTTCCTAACCCTAAAATAACCCAACACACTGACTGAACATCCTATAGCATTCTTGCCTCCTCTGAAGGCAGAGCTCCAAGGAGGCCAAACACAGAAGAAGGAGGAAGGCAACCTAGCCCGTGAAACCCCTCTGTATTCATTTTCTGCTGTCTATTAGATCCAGATCAGGTCCCTTCCACCTGTTCCTGACTGCCATGGTGGAGAGCATCCTGGGGCCAACTCCAGACTTCACATCTGCCCCACCTGGGAGGTGGTTTCACCTCTTTGTGAAGTTACCCATGTGACTCTTCATCTCTTCTTGCAGCCTAATCCAATTTTTCTCATTTGGTCATCAGCAACAACACAGAAGCTCCTCTGGCTAATTAGGGGAAAGGTAGCAAATTTTCCCTGCCACCCCATCTCTCTGAATAGGCACCCCATCCACTACCCGCTTTTAAATGTGCCTCTCTTTCTTGTACTAGTATTACTGTAATTCACTTGGGCCCACCCACTGCGTGTTCTTGATCTCTGTCAGTGCCTGTGATGTCTGGATTAGACAGTGACATCCTAGAGGGCAGGGCCACATCTACTGTGTGCCTCTAGCTCCAGCTCTGCAGAGCAGCAGGCACAGGTAGGTGCTTAATAAAGACTTTGGTGTTTGAAACAGATGAGCAGCACTCTGTGTCCAAAGTATTGTAAGTGTAAGAAAAAGCCATCTGTGACCATAGCCAGCCTCCCGCCAGTCAGTGAGCTGGGGCATACTTTTTCAACAAAGCAAGAAGAGCACTCTCTTGCATTTGAGATATAATAACAAAAACACAGTGACAACACTGCTCTCATAGTACTGGATGATTTGATGCTCAGAATAATCTTATGAAGTAGAGAATGTCATTATTTTTACAAATGTCTGAGGCACAGAGAGATGGGGTAAGTTGTTAAGCCTCCTAACTGGACCACCTGGATTTAGAGGACTCTGCATAATACCATGGTACTCTGGCCCTCGAGGTGGACAAGGGCAGTTTCAACCACAAGTAGAGGGTGAGGAGGTGCCAAATGGGCTCCTGCCTGACAGTCTAATGGGTCCTTGGTCCCTGTCATCCATGAATGAATGGCTGCTACTCAGGAACTATCCAGAGTGGAGCCAAGTGGATTTTCAAAGCATTTGTTCCCACCCCAGCCCTTTCTTTCCTTCTGTCTTCTCATCTGATTTCAAACATGCCAAACTTTGTCCATAGTCAGGTTTCTGAGCTTGCTGTTGCCTCTACCTGAAGTGCCCTTGCCTTGTCTGTGCATGGCTGGGTCCTTTTCATCATCTAAGTGTCAGCTCAGAGGAGACATTCTTAGGAAGGATTTTCCTGATTGCCCTATTTACTGTGGTGGTACCTCTCCCATCTCATCCCTTGCATTCATGACTAACTCACTTTCTGGTGTTAGTTTCATCTCACTTGGTCTCATCATGGCACCCTGGGCTATCTGAAATCGCCTGATTTATCTATTTTTTATTTATTTCTCTATTTCTCTATTTATTTATTTCTCTATTTCTGTGTCTCCACCATAATGGAGCTTCAGGAAAGCAGAGATCTCATCTCTTTTGTTCACTCCTGAATAGTGCCTGGAACAGCATCTGGCATACTGTAGATGCCCCAGAAATATCTGTTAAATAAATGCATGCATGCATGCATGCATGCAGGAATGCAAATTCCTTTGTAGATATGTACAAAGGTAGAAAGAGCCGCATCTTCCTGTTGCCCCTCACCACACATATTGCAAGCCCTTTGCAGAAAGAGATGGAGTCTTTATTTGTCTTTTAGTTCATAGAGAAGTAGCAAATGAGTGAGACGGTGGATAGGAAGGGAGGTTTCCAGTTCCTTTGTTTGGGCAGGAAAAGACCAAGATATTCAGCTCCTGAGATTACAGACTGCTCTCCCTCCAGGACCATGTGTAGACTATCGCTGGACAGCTCTCTCTCTTTGAATAGAAACTGAAATACAGAAATCTCAGGCTGCCCACCTTTCTTTCTCTTTCAGCATCTTCATTTCTCTTCCTTTTTTAAAGTTTACCCTATCTGTTCTCCTTTGTCTCCCTTCCTCATTGAAACTCTGTGACCAAAAGCAAGAAGTGGGAAAGTGTGTTCTCCGTATCTAATTATTCTTACTACTATAACACAACCTCACCAAAACCTCTTGGTTTCTGCACAAAATAAACCCTCACAACATAATAATTACATGTAGAAAGTGCTTGATTTGATCCAGTCTTAATGTAGACATAGCCCCCTAGTCCTCCCACATAATAGCAGAACCCATTGGTGCTAGCTTTTAATCTAGTGCTTTATTTATGACACATAGTACAAATAATGAACAGAAAAGCAAAGCTCCCAACCTCTGACCAAACCTTGTATGACATGAAGGCATTTCACATATTGCTAATGATCCCTTTCCATTTCTTTTTTCAACAACAAAAAAAAAGCCTTTTCAATAATTTCAATAATACAGCCTTTACAGGATCAAAATACATGCTCATTATATATGGATTTTTCCCAAGATAGTTTTATACTCATTATCTTCTGGTCCCTCTTGTAAGGAAAGGGAAGGGATGGCAAACAGTGCCTTGCAGAAATTGGAAAAGAGGCACAGAGACATAAAGCTGTTTGACAAAGTTCACACAGCAGGTGAAATATTTCCCAGGACACATTCCAAGTCCTGCCATTTTCTCAAGACTCGAGTGTTCTAGCCAGAAGGCACACTCCCAGCAGCCCCTGTAACATGCACACCTGAGCTAGCCCATGTGGGAGAAGAAAGAAATTTCTTAGGAAGGCAGGAAACTAAATCATTTTTTTCTTTTGGAGAAGATGAAGTTCCTGATGGGGAAGATCCTGACCCAGATCAACCCAAAGTGAGGTTCACTCTCGCCACCCTACCCCATGGCACTGCGAGAGGCTCAGCCTTGGCAGTGGAGCAAAAGGCTAGAAGAAAGGTGTGGAGCAGACATCCTGGACCTTCTCACCTAACAGGAGTTTTCAACTCTGGGCAACATTTTGTTTGGTGCTTCAGGTAATCTTAGTCACAGGGAGGAGGAACACAGCCCTCAGCTTCTCAGAGACATTTATTCACACTGAGATCTAAATCACTTCCCCTTATCATTCCCAGGCTTCAGCCCCAGGCATCATGGGTCCCTGAAGTGCTTTGTCCATTCAGAGCAAAGAGAAAAAAATGAATGAAAATGTCAGCTAAGCCTGCCTTGCACAGAGCAAGCCCTCAGCAAGAACCAGGGCTGGTCAGGAGCACTAAGGTGGCATTCTATTTCCCTTGTTCAAGGCACACCCAGAAGTCTTCCCTATGCTTCAGGAAATTACCAAAGAGGAGGCCGAGGTGAGCACAAAATCCTGCTTATGTTGGAATCGAATATTCCTTTGCCTGCATCACTAATGAGATCAGATTTTTCAGGTGAGCCTTTTCTGTCTGGGATTATCTGCAAAGTATTTTCACAACTCATTACTTCTGAAGAGTGTACACATGCTATCCAGTGTTTCAGGCACTGGATTGTAAGTGGAGTAGTAAATGAGGTGTCTGCAAAAACCTGAATGGACAGGGTGGGGAGGACCCACCGGACTTGAGAAATGTGTCCACCATGGGATGCTTGGCATCCCCTGTCCTGGGTGGGGAAAGTTTTAAGGGAAACTCTTTGTCAGTGCACATCAGGCCTATGAAGAGTAATCGATATGACCGGATTCCCTACTTCCTTCTCCATGTCCCTTAAAGTCACTCGTACCTGGACTTGCCTACCAGCTTCAATATAGGAAAACTTGAGAGTGTTTGAGAAAATTGAGATAGGCTCAAAGTGAAAAATACAGACTTACTGGATTTCACCTATAATAACAGGGAAAGAGAACAAATTCTTGGCACACTTCAGAGAGGGAAGAAGTTTGACAGTGGGGCTGAAGATGATCTGGGGAAGATGTTACTGGCAAGAAATCAGTGAAAAGGATATCTTGGCAACAGGCCTGAACATACCACCAAGTCCCTTCATTTCTTTTGGATCTTGGATTCTGAGTGATGTTTATGGAATGTTTTGGATGGAGTTGAAGTCACTAGTACGGAGAGGAAAATGTAAAAACCAGGGTACAACTGAGCCACCAAACAGCCTCCATCAGAAACCAGACAACTATTGGGCAAACTTCACTACAAGAAACATCACTGAGAAGCTCTTAAAAGTTATAGTCCTTGACACTGGCAACGGCATGATGGTTCCCCAGGGCAAGCAGGTGAGCAGCAACCTGCAGGACCTGGAGATGCTACAAGGAAAGGGGAAAGGGACTCACCTGTTCTGGCCCCTGGAAGCAGATGCGGCAGAGCGGAGTCCTCATACCACTGTCCAAGCTACTGCCCAGTGAGTAGCGATCCTCAGCCTTCTTACAGAAATCATCTGAGGAGGCACTGCTGAGCAGTGAGGCAGGTGGCTCTGCTTGGCCACCCCAGTCATCTTCCACAGAAGAAGGTGGCAAAGGTGGTGGAGGTGGCAGAGGAGGGGTCTCCCTTCCCACCACTTCTCGAGGGCCCCTCCAGCCTGCCCACCCTCCGGCGCCCAGAGCCGGAAGGGTGTTGTTGTTGGCCGCCACACCCGGGGGCTGGGGGTCACCGTGCATGGGCAGGGGCGCTGGAGGGGGGCGCCTCAGTAGGAAAACCTTCAGGTCATTGAAGAGCATGCGGCAGCGGCACTTAAGGAGACCCTGGTGGCGCAACATCTGGGGAGCTGGGGTGCACAATCCACAGCAGTACCAGCCACAGAAGCAGTAGCAGCACCACCACCACCAGAACAGCCCACCCAGGGGCATCAGCATGTGCCCACAGAAAGCAGAGGACCAAGAGGGCAGCTGGAGTCTTTGAAGAGATGAATAGGATGGGGCTTGGGGTCCACAGTGTTGCTGTTACTGGAGGAATCTCCTTTCTTACTGGTTCTTCTTACAACCCCTCCAAGCAGCAAATAAATTGCTCCCAGAACTGAGAACTGTGAGTCACTGATTCTGAACTCTACCTGGAAAATGTAAAACAAAAAAGTTTTTCTTGCCTTTGCAGCCCAACCCCTTCTCAGACTTTGCTCAAGGTGTCTCCTTTTCTGCCTTTGACCCCAAGACTCTGGAAGGAGCAGGGTGACGGAAGAAGTGTTGATGCTGGGCTGTTAGAACCTTAAGATCAGTGTCTAATTGTTAAAAGTTCCCCAGGAAAAGATTACTGGGTTCTTCTGGAACCCCTTGGCAGTGGTAAATCTCTTTCTTTTATATAAAAGGGTGAGGAAGGTTATAAATCAAATTTGAAGTGGACTGAGCTGGGTTTAGGGAAATCTAGCTCAATGAAGAATTGAGGGCTGCATATGTGAGAGAGAAAAGGTAGTTTTCCTCAGGTAGTAGGAGGGAACGGGTTGAGGGGGAAAGGTGGAGGCGGAAAGGAGCCTGGAAGAAGTTTTAATTCTCCTGGGCAGAAAACTGGGGCAATTAACCCCCGGAAGCACCAGAGTTGCTTTAAGAACAGTTGGGTGGAGGAGAGAAGGTTGCAGGCTATATTGGGCAAGGGGGTTGTGCTTTGCCTATGCAGCCAAAGGGCTACACGGAAGAAGGGAAAGCCAATTTGGTGATCAGAGGTGGGAAAATAGGGGGTCGTGGGAGAGGAAAGGAAGGGAGAACAAGAAAAGATCTTTTAACCCTCACAGAGCCACGTCCTTCCTGAGAGTGAAGATCCTGGCTAGAGGAAGGGTGTATGGGGGTGGTGTAGAGGAGGGTAGAAGAGGGGCGTGTGGGAGGGGACGGGAGAAAGAAATAGTTACATTATCTCAGCCCCTAACCCACTCCTGCTGCAGGCTGCAAATCCGTGGCCCCCTCCCCTTGGTTCCATCAAAGGTCCCTTCGGGCGAGGTGGGAGAAGGGCAGATCCTGGCGGGCGAGTGGCCTCGCCTTCTTCTCCTCTTCCTCCTCTGGGTCGTTGTCACCCTCCTCTGGCTCTTGGGCTGCCCGCGCCCGCCGCTGCTGCTGTGGCGGCAGAGGCGACTGCTGGTCGGCGTCCTGGTGTCTCCGGGGCGGGGGCTGCTCGGGCTCGTCCTCTGGCTGCTGCCCGCCGTCCGGCGCGGTCGCGACTCCGGGCTTCATGATCCTCCTCCTCCTCCTCCTCCTTCCCGGGGGGCCGGCCCTGAGCCCCCGCGCCCGGGCAGTGCTGCCATGCAACCAGAGACGAGGCAGGCGTGGGGGTGGGGGCGGTTGGGGAGTGAGGAGGGGGGATGATACAAAAATGAAAGAATACTAATGTAATAATTCGATTCTCAGATAATCAGGAAAGAGTGCTTCTGGTGGGTGGGGGCGGAGGAGGGCGGCTGCCAGGTCTTCTCGGCAGCTCTGCCCCCGCTACCCCCACCAAGGGCGGCCTCGCGGGGCTCTGTGCCCCCACCCCCACCCCGCCCCTCCCTCCTGTCGCCGCCTCTGGCTGGCTGGGCTCGCGGTGGCTACCTCTCCTCGCAGATGCAACTAGGTAAGGCTTGTCCGCGGTGCCAGCCGAAGGTGGGGAGGGGGGAGCGGAGCAACGTGGCCGAGGTGGGAGGCAGCCGGCACTTGGCTCCAGCTTGGTCCTCGAGACTCCCCCGAACCGTGTACAGATATATCTCGTATAAAAGCTGAAAGGAAGCAAATCAGATTCCAGGCTGCTGCCAGGTGTTGTCTTCCGCCGTTGCTCAGCACCCGCCGCCGCCGCGACTGCTGCCCCCCTGGCTCAGTTCCCAAAGGGGTGGTGCTGGAAGGGAGGTGGCGGGGCGGTAAGCTGCCGGTCCGAGGACTGGAAACGAGGTTGCCGGAGCGAGGAGGCTCCCAGCGATCTCCACCGCCGCGGCCGAGGCCGCCGCCGCTGCATTCAGCACCCGGGGCGAGTGGACAGCTCCCACCCAGACCCCGCGCGTCACGCTAGTGGGGGCCTGACGCAGATGCCACGGAGGGATGGAGGAGGGAAAGGAGACGAGAGGGAAAGAGGCTAGAGGGAGAGGGAGCAGGAGGAGGAGAAAAGAACCGTGCGAGGGAAGGGGATGGGGAGGGACCAAGGGAAAGGGAGGTGGCAAGAGAGGAGGGAGCCAAGTGAAGAGTAAAAGGTAAAGGCAGAAAGGTAACTGGGATGGCGGGGGTGGGGGCGGTGTGATTCAGGTACTAACTCTCGCATTTCCACCCAGGTGGAAACTATCAGTGTGGACGGTACCATTTGTAGGATTTCTGCCCATTTATTGTCACCGCTGCCTTCAGTGCACGTATACAGAGACAGATACCTCTCAATCAGTGTCCATGTCGCTATTCATATAAACACTTAAAGTAGTTGTGGGTCTGCAAGCTTTGGAAGAGACAAAGTTTTGTGACTTTGATATTGGAGTTTGGACTTGATGCAGACTAAAGTCCCTCATGACTAAGACCTCATGAGAAAGAAACTCTTCAAACCTACAAGCAGAAAGGACAATTCTAGCACCACGTTTGACGGTTTCTCCCTCTAGAATTTAAGCTCCAAAGGGCCGGCTATTTATTTTGTTGGTTTGTTTGTTTTGGCCCATTTTGATTCCATGTACCCAAGTCAGTGGCATATAGTAAGGTAAATATTTGTTAAATAACTTGTGATCGCCATGACCACAATCATCATTACTCCAAATCTAGTCCTTTTTTAGTGTGAATCATAAGAATCCAGAGCAATATTATAGCCTCATCTTAACCAATATCCCCAATTGCCTCCATATCCAAACTTTTTACTGAGCCACCTGCAAGGAGTAATTTGAAATGGATTTTAATTTCCTCTCATTTTTCTGCTTCTGACTCATGTCACCCTACCCCATCTCTCTCAAGGAGTTTATAGTGAGCAGAAAAGTATCCCTCAATGTGCAGAGCTAGAGGAAGAAGGATATTTAAAAGAGTTTGTGTAAATAACCAGTAATTGCAGCTGTAGACTTTGGTCATTTAAAACTTAAAAATACTTCTTGACTTTTCTCTTAAATCAATCTCTCTCTCTCTCTCTCTCTCTCTCTCTCTCACACACACACACACACACACACACACACACACACCTCTAGGGTCATAGACTTGGGGAACATATTCCAATGAGTCATCTATACAGCTGTGATAATGTGTCTAGAAATACTGAAACCATAGACACAGCGCCATGCAAAATCTCTGCACCAAAATATCGTTGGCATGAAGTTCAGCCCAATGAATCATAAGAAAACTACCCCTTTGCTGACATCTCCGTGAATGATTCATTCCTTATAAGCTCTAAGGAACAAGAATTTACGTCTGGGTCTTGACTAACCCTGCATGGCTGCTTATCTGATTCATGCCCCAGTACACACTATGGATGCTAAGACCCTGCCCAAGATGAGTGGTTTGAGAATGATGCTGATGCTTTTAATAACTACAAAATAATGCTTAAATTATTGATATCTGTATGGACACTGTGCTATGAAAACAAACTTCTTTATTGAAAATCATCTGTGTTCCACTCACCCTGTATCCGCCTCTGGCATTGTGCAATTCGCTATAAAAATCATCTCATTCACCTCCCTTCATATGACTCAGAGCTCCTTGAAGGGACTGTATTTATATTTGTATTAGCAGCATATAACACCACACCTAGAGTCCAGTAGATGACAAAAAATAGCTTTATGAATAAATAGATATTTTTTATTCCAGTGAAGTTACATATTTCTCCCCTTTGGTCTAGACAAATATGTGTGACATACATGACAAAATATCTGCTTTGTCTAAAATTGATGTTTAGGTTTATATTCATAAAATGCTAGTTCCAAATGTGTTATGCAAGTGAACTGGAGCACAAAATAAAAAGACCATCTGAAGCCTATCTTCAGAGTCATAGAAATAGGTGATATTCATAATAAGACCACTTCTCCCAACCCTTCCACTGAAAGAATAAAGATCTGTATAAACAATAAGTTGCCAGGGGTGGGATAAAACAATAAGATTGTCTTTGGAGAGACTGAGAGGCTTGAGAACTCTATTGTGTATATAATGGGAATCCTGAAAAACATTTCACTGAGTTAGACTCTCCTTATGTTGGTGTTGAATCATGAGCCCCAAGAGTAAAAACAACCATAAAGAAAATGTTAAATCAATGGATCTCCATTTAAACATTCAAACAGTATTTACTGAACACCAATCATAGGTAAGCAATGGTGTTGGAAGATAAAGAGAGCACAAAAATGAGTTTGTTGGAATTGCATCTTGTAGGGTCTTCTATGTACATACTCATAATGAAAGGCATAGAATAATAAGTGCAACAAAGTCTGAGAAGTTTTAGGAGTGTTCTGAATAGGGAGGTAACACAGTTTGGCAGCAATTAAGAGAGGTGGGAAGAGTGGGGGGGGGGGCGAGAGAAGGAGATAGATGCCAGATCTCTAGGAAAGCTTTTTTCAAGAAATGACATTTGAACTGAGTTAAAGTATATAGAATTCAAAGGAAGAAAGCACATTCCTGGCAGTAGAAACACTGAATACTTTAGCTCTTCCATTTGGATGGGCTGGAAGGGGATTGAAGCTAAGTAACCAGAAGTGAAGGAGCCAGATTACAGAAGGCCCTAAATGCCACTCTAGGGAAGATTTATTCATTGACCAGGTACTTGTTTTAATGGTTTTAAAGAGTTGGAGCTGAAGGTGAAGGGCAAAAATAAACTTTATCACTGAGCAGGTTAATTAACTGGATGGAATTTCGTTGCTAACAGGTGGGAAGCAATCAATATTTTTCATTTCATGCCAGAAAGTTCTCAGTTCCTTAATAGATTTATTCTTTTAAACGGGTTTGTTTTCAGATATATTTCATTACATACA